GGAGGCGCATTCTTCCTGGCACGGGCTGCCAAATCTCTAGTGTGCCACCCTCTGGGGCACGTATGCTTTCCAACCTTGCGGGTGTCCTAGGGGGCAGAGGCAGAGAGGCAGAGGCAGAGAGGGCACGGGAATGCAAAGGGGACAAAGGGAGCAGGGGGACTGTTTCTACATACCCCACGTCCCCGCCTCTCCCCTTCATCCCCCTCGTCCTCTCTTCCATCGTCCCTGTCCTTCCCCGCTCCTTTCCTCCCCATCTTCGCTCATCCTTCTCCCTTTCCCCCCCTCTCCGTTTCCCATTGCCTTCCTGAGTGCATCATTCCCCCGATGCTCTTCCCGCGCCAGCGCTGGCGATATTTGCGGCGCCAGCGTGTGCGGCGGCAGTGCAGAATTTGTGGAACCCAGCTCGCTACGTCGCCTATGTCGCTAAGCTGGGTAGCCTTGCGCAGGACAGCCGTCGCCGTCTGTGCTGGGGGGATTGTCCTTCTTTGCGATACACCCATTATGTCTCTTCCCTCTCCTAGTGCTCATCCTCTTCCTATGGTTCATCAGCCTCCCCCTCGCTCATCACCACCACATCATCAAGAGCGAGCTGTCGAGAAGGTGAAAAGCTTTACCTCGACCCGCCTTGCGCATTGTCACGCGTCGCCATGTCGGATCAACTCGGATCAATGTATTCACGCTGGGTTGTGGTCGTCCTTCTCGTGCAACCTTTGCCCTTGCTGCTCTTCTTCTCCCTACCGCCCTCCCACACATCGTGCTCCACAACGTTCGAATCATCATCACCACCATGCCACAACCAGCATCATAATCATACACATCACCATTCGTGATCATCAGCAGCAGCATCATCATCAGCATCATCAGCATCATCATCCTTGTCTGTTTGTGTCATCATCGCTTACCGTGTGCCGTTTCATACGGAGTGCGAGCGCGAAGGGGCATGGTGTGATCTAGCGCACAAGTTTAAATACATGACGCTAAGGTACGTATAGCTACGCTCTTTGCCTCGCCCGTGCCTCTCTCCCTCTTTCCTCCCTCTCTCTCTCTCTCGTACGCCGCGCTGGTCCCTGTGGCGTCCGATTTGATTCCTGTTCGGTTCGGTGTCGCTCTCTCTCTCTCTCTCTATCCCTCCCTCCCTCCCTCTCTCTCTATCGCTCTCTCTCTCTCTACTTCCCTACCTCTCTATCAACTTCTGTTCCTCTCACTCACTCTCTCTCTCTATCTCTCTTTCTCTCTCTCTCTCTCTCTCTCTCAGCCATTTCGCACTCGAGTGTGTTGCAGCTACGTACTTCGAAGTGGCGTCGTGCTTGCGAGCCAATTTCACGCAACGTTCGGCCCAGTCGACCAGCGTCCGTCCTTCCTTCTCTCCTTCCCGCCTCCCTCCTGCCTCCTCCTGTCTTGCCTGCAGGGGGCTGCGATCTTTGTAGTTGTCGCCACTTTCGAGGGCTCCTGGGGGCCCAGCACAGTGACGTCCTACGCAGATTCAAACTAGACTTCGCCATCCCTGGGGGGCTGCGATCTGTGGAGCTGTCGCCACTTTCGACGGTTGCTGGGGGCCAGCACGGTGACGTCAGACGCAGAGTCAAATTTGACCTCGCCATCTTTGGGAGGCTGCGATTTGTGAAACCGCCGCCAGTTTCGAGGGCTGGTGGGGGGTCCAGCACAGTGACGTCTTACGCAGATTCGAACTAGACCTCGCCATCCTTGGGGGGCTGCGATATGTGAAGCTGTCGCCACTTGCGACGCCTCTTGGGGGTCCAGCATAGTGACATCTTACGCAGATTGGAATTCGACCTCGCCGTCCCTGGGGGGCTGCGATCTGTGGAACTGCCGCCACTTTCGAGGCCAGCTGGGGGGTCCAGCACAGCGACGTCCTACGCATATTCAAACAAGACATCGCCATCCCTGGGGGTCTGCGATCTGTAAAGCCGTCGCCACTTCCGAGGCCGACTGGGGGGTCCAGCGCAGTGACGTCGTACGCAGATTCAAATCAGACTCGCCATCCCTGGGGGGCTGTGATCTGTGAAGCCGTCGCCACTTTCGAGGCCTGCTGGTGGGTCCAGGTTGTGGCGTCCTATGCAGAGTCAAATTTGACCTCGCCATCCATGGGGGGCTGCGATCTGTGAAGATGTCGCCACTTTCGAGGCCTGCTGGTGCATCCAGCGCAGTGACGTCCTACGCAGAGTCAAATTTGACCTCGCCATCCATGGTGGGCTGCGATTTGTGAAGCTGCCGCCACTTTCGAAGCATGCTGGGTGGTCCAGCGCAGTGACGTCCTTCGCATATTCAAATTCGACCTCGCCGTCCCTGGGGAGCTGCGATCTGTGAAACCGTCGCCAGAGGGCTGCTGGGGGTCCAGCATAGTGACATCTTACACACATTCAAATTTGACCTCGCCATCCCTGGGGGGTTGCGTCCCAACCAGGACCACGATCCATCGTGAATTATTATGCGTCCGCGCTCCCAGGGCCACGATCCATCGTAACTTATATTGTGTCTGCGCCTCCAGGGTCAGGATCCCTAGTAAATTACGCTGGATTCGCGCCTCCAGGGCCAGGATCCCTCGTCAATTGAGCTGCGTCCGCGCTCCCAGGGCCAGGACCCGCAATAAATTGCGTCGCGTCCGCGCCACCAGGGCCACGACCCCTCGTAAATTACGTTGTGTCCGCGCCCCCCAAGGGCAGGATCCCTAATGGATTGCGCTGAGCCCCCCCCCCCCCCCCCCAGTGCCATGATCCCGTGTAAACTAGGCTGCGTCCGCGCTCCCAGGGCCACGGTCCATCGTAAATTACGTTGCGTCCGCTCCCCATGGGCAACGATCCATCGTAAACGTCCGCGCTCCCAGGCAGCCCCCCCTGTCAAATGCGCAGCGTCCGCGCTCCCAGGGCCACGATCATTTGGAAATTACGCTGGGTTCGTGCCTCCAGGGCCAGTCAATTGCGCTGCGCTCGCGCTCCCAGCCAGGTCCAGGGCCGCTGCAAAACAAGCGTTTCGCCAGAGACATCCCTAGACATTCTGCACGCAAGATGCGCTATCTAAGAGCGGGCGCGCAAGCAGCCAACCTTCTTCAGAGCAAACGCGGGGTTCGAGGCGTCCTCTAAATTCCTGCGCGCGGGGCGCGTCATCGTCGAGCGGGCGCGCAAAAACGGAGTTGTTCAATTTTTGTCATTGAACTCTAGGGTCTCCCTAATTTGTGCGTTTGCAAAGGATTCTGCGCAAAACACACCGCACCCTGTTTTTGTTCTTACAAGGGCAAACGAGTGTCTGTGCACACCGCTATTGACGGAGGATCCGAGGTAGGGGGCGCGTTTTCCTCGAGCGGGCACGCGCGAAGCGAATTGGTTCAAAAAGCTGAAATGTTGTTTTGGCTACTTCTAACAAATCATTTCGCTCCTCGGATTTCCTGCGCGCGGGGCGCGTCATCGTCGAGCGGGCACGCAACAAATCAACTGTTCCATTTTTGTCATCAAATTCGAGGGTCTCCATACTTTGTGTTTTGATCGCGGATTCTGAGCAAAACCTTCCGCTCCCTGTTTCTTAACGAGGGAAACGGGCGTCTGCGGATTTATACATATAACGGCGCACCGGGTCCGTGCGCCCGGGGCCGGCGCCGCTACCACAAATGTGGGCTCCGGGGCCCTCGGGGAGCCCTGGGGCCTCACAGAAGACCGCCAGAAGGCACCAAGGAGGCTCCAAGAGGCTCTTTTCCGTAGCCATTTTGGCTCAAGCCATTTGGGCTCAAGTTATTGTTGCTCAATCTCCGTGTCCGTGGGTCGAACGCCTCAGGAGTTATGGTGATGTACCCGATGAGCGATATGCAGTACCAGGCGGTGTACAACACGCTGTCGTTCGCCCTCGCGAGCATGATGGCGACCACAATGTACTTGTGGTTTCGCTCCACTGCGGTACGCGACCAATTCAAGAGCGCCGTCATCATCTCTGGCCTGGTTACCTTCATAGCAGCCTACCATTACATCCGCATCTTCAACTCCTGGGTGGAGGCCTACACATACACGGTGGGCAAGCCCGACCCCGAGCTGACAGGCACGCCCTTCAACGATGCCTACCGGTACATGGACTGGCTGCTGACGGTGCCGCTGCTGTTGATCGAAATCTTGCTGGTCATGAACCTGGACGAGAAGACCTACAGCGTCAAGTCCAAGACGTTAGGCGTCGGCGCCGCCCTGATGATCGTCACCGGGTACTATGGCGAGCTGACCGTGAGCGGCGACCTGACCTCGCGCTGGAAATGCTGGGGCTTGTCCATGTGCTTCTTCCTGTACATCGTATACGAGTTGCTGGTTGGGTTGAAGGCGGCCACTGACAGCGAAATCGACCCTACGATCAAAGGTAAGATCCAGCTTGCGCAGGTGATGACGGTGATCAGTTGGTGCACCTACCCCGTCGTATACCTCTTCCCGATGTTTGGAATCACGGCGTCCAATGCTGTGGTGGCCATCCAGATTGGCTATTGCGTCTCGGACATCATATCCAAGTGTGGTGTCGGCCTCGTAATCTACCAGGTCACGTATGCCAAGTCGACTAAGGGTGATGCCCTGCTGGGTTGAGCCGCCTAGGGGTGACGCGGAAGGGCGTGGTGGACGGCTAACCAGGGCTACGATTGCGATTTTGTCCCCGCGAGGTGGGGTTTTGCAACCGTCCGCCCGGCTTTCCGCTCAGGTTTTCGGACCATGCCTCGTGGCAGGTTCCTTGCTGGTTTCGACGGCTTCCGTAAGGCACAATACACAGTAATTTTCATCAGCGAGGCCCAGTGGCATCCAATTTTCGGTGAGGGGGGATGTGTAAAGTTGTGCATGGCGTTGCCCAATCGCACGCAATGACAGCTCGCGAGGAGGCAACCAGGTCCGCAAACACAAAAAAAAGAGGCCCCAAGAGGCTCCAGAACAGACCCCGTAGCCATTTTGGCTCAAGCAGTTTAGGGCCAAGCTGCAGGTTTTGCTCACTCGCACCAGGCTGCCGCGTGCCACGGCATTGCCGAGATGGGTGGCCTAGAGCTCCCTGTCTCTTCGGATAGCTTCTCGGAAGGCGATGCAGTGCCAGCAGGCCACGGCCGCAGTTTCGTTCGCTACTGGGTGGCGGGCCTTGCGCTGGCAACAGTGATCGTGGCCACCGTTTTGCTGACTTCCCTTGGGGGCAGCATCGGCCCTGGGCCTGACGTGGCTGTGGTCGGGGACTCCATCTCCATGTCTCACTTCTCGCAGACGAAAAGCTACAAGTGCAACAAGCAGCACGCAGAAGAACTCGCGCAGTGCGAGCCCGCATCAGCACAGGCGAAGGACGCGGATGCCAGACGCCTGGCCGAAGAAGATGGGTCCAGCGAGTCCGACGATGAGTCTGGCGATGAGGCGGAGCTTTCCGATGTCGCTGGGTGCAAGAGCAGGGCGAGTGACAACTACAAGACGTGCTGCTCGGCCATGGATGGCGGAAGATGCCGGTACCCGTGCACCAGGGTGTGCCAGCAACAATACGGCACCATCACAAACGAGTACAAACAATGTTGCAAGAGGTGCCCTGGGGGTGGATGCGTGGACCCATGGGTCATGCTGAAAGAGGTCTACGAGCTGCACGGACCGTGGGGCTGAGCCGTGACGCCTGCACAAGTTACCGACCTCGGCGGCGGAGTGGGGCTGACCGCGGAGTGTTTTCAAGTTTAGTTTCAAATTTAGTCTGGCTGTCGTGCGAGCGCGCATGTGACACATTGTTGATCCCCTTCCCTGCGATGGCGTTTTGTATTATCTTCTTTCTGGGTCTCTTTCCATTACCTCCCTCTCTGCATCTTAACATGGAACTCGCATCCACAGCAGAGCTGTGTGTAGCATGCCGAATGCCAAGGTGTGTATATAGCTAGAGTCCAGTATCTCCTAGCCGGGATTCTTAGAGCCAGGGTGGCTATATAACAAAAAAGAGGCTCCAGAACAGACCCGGGACGCCCGAAGGTCGCTCCCAGACGCCCAACATGGCCTCCAAGGCGGCTTCAGAAGCCCCCAAGACACCCCAAACAACCCCCAATAGGGCCCCAAAGAGAGCCCCAAGGAGCCAAAATAGCCCCATTCCATTCGTAAAACGTATGTGTTTAACATATTGCTTGTTTTCGCTGTCGGTCCGGCCGAGGACGCGCCCCAGAAGGCCCCAATACAGCCCCAGACAGCTCCAGGACGGCCCACGAAGTGCACAAGACGGCCCAAGAGAGTCCCCAAGACGGGCCCGAGAGGGCCCCAGAGGAGGAAAGCCACCATCGAATTCCAAGCTTTCGACCCCAAGAGGTTCCAGGAGGCGCCGAGAAGCCCCCAAGAAGCGCCTGGAAGGCCCCCCAAAGCACACCAAGACGCTCCAAGAGGCACCCCAAGAGAGCTCCAAGAAGCAAAAATCGTCCCATTGTTGTGGAAAACGTATATTTTTCGTATGTTCGCCTGTTGGGCTGTCATCGCGTTCCCAAGACGGCCTAGGAGGCCCCCAAAAGAGCTCCAAGACGGGCCACGAGAAGCCCAGGACGGCCCAATGGGCCCCCAAGACGGCCCAAGAGAGCCCCAACACGCGCCCGAGAGGAGTCCCAGAGAAAGAAAGCCACTCTCGAATTCCGAGCTTTCGGCCCCAAGAGATCCCAGGAGGCGCCGATACGCCCCCAAGAGGACCCAAGCAGGCCCCCCAAAGCACCCCAAGATGCTCCAAGAGGCACCCCAAGAGAGCCCCAAGAAACTAGAATCCGTCCATTCCGATGGGGAAACGTATATTTTTCGCATGCTCGCCTCTTGGGCTGTCACCGCGTCCAAGACGGCCCAAGCGGCCCCCCAAAACGGCTTAGGAGGCCCTTGAGAAATCTCCAAGACGGCCCAGGAGGAACGCAGGACGGCCCAATTGGCCCCCAAGACGGCCCAAGAGAAGCCCAAGAAGCGCCCGAGAGGGGTCCCAGAAGAAGACAGCCACTTTTCTAAAGAAGGGAATTCCCAGAATTCCCTTCTTTAGAAAAGTGGGCATCTGGCCGGTACCGCGCCTCCCGGCTTCCCAGGGGGAGACCCCAACACGCCGAAGGACAGCCCATGACGACCCCAAGGAGCCCCCATAACGTAAAGAACGGCCCAACACGCTCCCGCGCAGCCCGAGACACCCTTCCGACGGCTCTCCAGGCCTCCAGGAGGCCTCCAGAAGCCCCAGGGGGTCTGGAAGATCCCACACCCCTGAGGGGCCCCGCTAGCAAAACCCGCGAGGCACAAAGAAACAACAGCGCCGAACAGCGCCGAGGAACTGGGAAAAAATGGGAATCCCACATTTTTGTGTTGTTTTCCAAGCTTGGCCCCCGGTCTACTCTTGCACAACAGACCAAAATGACGATCCCCCTCACCTTCCAAACAATTACCCTGCGACGTACCCAACCCACGTGCATCAAGTGGCAAGAGGAGTAGGCCAACATTAGCAGGAACAGCGATAATGTAGGCGATGTGAATTGCTGTGCAAACTACATGGGATGCGCACGCATTGCACGGCTCACAGGACGACGATCGAAAGAACGAGGATTTAAAGCCCCAGGCTCGCGTATGACGTCACTCCGCTGGGCCACCCAGCAGCCCTCGAAAGTGGTGACAGTTTCGCAGATCGCAGCCCCCCAAGGATGGCGAAATCTAATCTGAATCCGAATATGTCCCCACTCCGCTGGGCCCTCCAGCAGCCCTCGAAAGTGGCGACAGTTTCGCAGATCGCAGCCCTTCGGGGATGGCGAAGTCGAGCCTGAGTCTGCGTAGGACCCACTCCGCTGGCCCCCCAGCAGCCATCGAAAGTGGCGACGGTTTCGCAAATCGCAGTCCCCCAGGAATGGCGAGGTCGAATCTGAGTACCCCACTCCGCTGTCCCCCCCCAGCAGCCCTCGAAACTGGCGACAATTTCGCAAATCGCAGCCCCCCCCAGCGATGGCGAGGTCTAATCTGAGTCCCCTTGGGGGCTCACTCCGCTGGTCACCCCAGCAGCCCTCGGAAGTGGCGACAATTTTGCAGATCGCAGCCCCCCAGAGATGGCGAGGTCTAATCTGAGTCCCCGTGGGGCCTCACTCCGCTGGGCCCCCCAGCAGCCCTCGAAAGTGGCGACGGTTTCACATTACAAATCGCAGCCCCCCAGGGATGGCGAGATCTAATCTGAGTCCCCGTGGTGCCTCACTCCGCTGGACCCACCAGCAGCCCTCGAAAGTGGCGACAGTTTCACAGATCGCAGCCACCCCCAGAGATGGCGAGGTCTAATCTGAGTCCCCGTGGTGCCTCACTCCGCTGGACCCACCAGCAGCCCTCGAAAGTGGCGACAGTTTCACAGATCGCAGCCACCCCAGAGATGGCGAGGTCTAATCTGAGTCTCCGTGGTGCCTCACTCCGCTGGACCCACCAGCAGCCCTCGAAAGTGGTGACAGTTTCACAGATCGCAGCCACCCCCAGAGATGGCGAGGTCTAATCTGAGTCCCCGTGGTGCCTCACTCCGCTGGACCCACCAGCAGCCCTCGAAAGTGGCGACAATTTCACAGATCGCAGTTGGCGACACAGATCGCAGCCACCCCCAGAGATGGCGAGGTCTAAATCTGAGTCCCCGTGGTGCCTCACTCCGCTGGACCCACCAGCAGCCCTCGAAAGTGGCAGTTTCACAGATCGCAGCCACCCCAGAGATTTCGACAGATCGCAGTGGCGAGGTCTAATCTGAGTCCCCGCTGGTGCACTCCGCTGGACCCACCAGCAGCCCTCGAAAGTGGCGACAGTTTCACAGATCGCAGCCCCCCAGAGATGGCGAGGTCTAATCTGAGTCCCCGTGGTGCCTCACTCCGCTGGACCCACCAGCAGCCCTCGAAAGTGGCGACAGTTTCACAGATCGCAGCCACCCCAGAGATGGCGAGGTCTAATCTGAGTCCCCGTGGTGCCTCACTCCGCTGGACCCACCAGCAGCCCTCGAAAGTGGCGACAGTTTCACAGATCGCAGCCACCCCAGAGATGGCGAGGTCTAATCTGAGTCCCCGTGGTGCCTCACTCCGCTGGACCCACCAGCAGCCCTCGAAAGTGGCGACAGTTTCACAGATCGCAGCCACCCCAGAGATGGCGAGGTCTAATCTGAGTCCCCGTGGTGCCTCACTCCGCTGGACCCACCAGCACCCCTCGATAGTGGCGACAGTTTCACAGATTGCAGCCCCCAGAGAAAAGAGGAGGAGGAGGAGAAGGGAGGAGAGGAGGGGGACGGGAAGGAGGAGAAGGGAAGACGCGACCGCAGTGCTCTATTCAAAACGAGTACCCAACCAAGGAGGGTTGTGAAAAAATCAGGAAGCCTTTGAGGGCCCCAGGTCGTTGAATACCTTCCGCGCTTCCCCTTCTATACGATTCCGAGGCTTGCGCAGGGCCTTCAAGGGAGTCCCTGGACGCAAGAAGCGACCAGCATGATATTACATGAGTTAGCCGATCAAGCCTAGCTAGAACTTGAACGCGCGCGAAGCGCGCGCGATGGTTCTAGTCGTTATCTCTCGAGGATCTGAAATAGAGCGGGCACGCGCGAAACGCATTTAAACATCAAAGACAGAAAATTCAGACGTTATTCCGTTATTTATCGCAAGTAATTCAGCCGGCCCTACTCAACCCGATTCGGCGGGCAGGCAGCTAAAAGAGAACCCTGGGCCCGAGCCCTTCCCGGGAAAAAGAAACCGCCCTCCATCCATGAAGCTGTTGCAAACTTGAAAGACGAATGTGCGCGGCGGCGCTGAGGCGACAGCTCCATGTTGAAAACAGTTCACCCTCCATCCGTGAAGCTAGTGCAAACTTTGAAGATAAATGTGCGCGGCGATACGGCGAGAACTCTATTTTGAAAACGGTGCACCCTCCATCTTTGAAGGCGCCGCAAACTTTCAAGACGAATGCGCGCGACGCTCAGGCGAGAGTTCCACTTCCACATGATCGACCCACGAATCCAGAAATGGATTTAGTTAGAATTGCGAGGCATGGAAACGTTTCACAGGACCTCAATTGGGCGATGGACAGTGGCAGTGCTGAAGATACCGATGATGATGCTGATGATGATGATGCTGATGCTGATGCTGATGCTGATGCTGCTGATGATGATGATGATGATGATGATCATGATCATGATCATGATCATGATGATGATATTGTGCCAGGGTGCTGCGCTGCGCTGTGCCGTGCCGCACATTGACTTGCCACGGGACGCGCCAAGGGGCACGCCACGGGATTCGCCGCGGGACGTGCCAGGGGGACGCGCCGCGGAACCTCCCAAGGGACGCGCCAGGGGACGTGCCAGGGGACGTGCCATGGGAACGCACCGCGGGACGTGCCATGAGGACGCGCCACGGTGCGTGCCAGTGGACGTGCCACGGAACGTCCCAGGGGACGCCGCGCGACGTGCCAGTGGGACGCGCCACGGGGCGCTCCACGGAACGTGCCAGGGAACGTGCCAGGCGACTCGCCAGGGGACGTGCCCGGGGACGCGTCGGGGAACTTGCCACGGGACGCGGCACGGGACTCGCCAGGGACGCGCCAAGGGACGCGCCGCGGATCACTTGGAGCCGCCTAGGATCTCCGCGCCCCGTTGTCAGTCGAGATGTCAAGGGCCACGC